GCTTAAATTCATCAGCCCATTCCAATGATTCCTCAATATCATTCCTACATCAGACCAACCCTTTCCTTATTTTAACTTCACCCATTCCTGTTTTACTTCATCGCTTCGCTCCAGTGTTTCCACAGTGCCATTCCTACCACATCACAACCTGTTCCGTATTAGAACATCACCCATTCCTACTTACCCTCATCAGCCAGTATTTTCTCAATGCCATATATACTATCTTCCATATTCTAACTTCACCCATTCGTACTAAACTTGTCACCCCATTCCAATCCTAATTCATTCTCCACCCTTGAGTCTCCATCCTTCCCTGTAACATCAACGAACTTCTTCATCGCCGCCCCCTGGCTCCCTCGGGAACACCTGTGTATTGCGCAGGTGTGACAGGTGTGGCAGCTGCTGAATGGGGAATATGGAAGAGGCAGTTAGCTTGTGGCAGAGATGATGCATGAGGCCCAAAGTTGATGTATTGTAAAATGTGCAAATAGGGATGTGATGTTTTAAATAAAGAATAGACAGGACATATGTATATACAGACGTACATATGCAACGTAGATATACAGATATAGACATACAGACAGATACCATTGAACGCAGACGCTTGCAATAACGGGAACATGGACACTATAGACGCAATTGAAACGCAAAAGATGCATATACTTACATACGTACACACGCAAAAGCACATGAACATGCACAAAATTACAAAAACTGGAACATACATATATACACACATACATACATAGATACATACATACGTACGTACATACATACATACACATGCATGCATACCTGCATATATACATACATACATATATAGAAACATAAATACATAATACATCTATGCATACACATACAGCCATACATACTTACATACATGTACATACGCATATACATATGATATTTATATGCACAGTTATGATAATGATTGCACATATGCCAAGAATAAAGTATATAAATCTAGAATTACATTTGATATATCGAACACATGTACAGAGGAGTTGAAATAAAATATGGGAAAGAAGAGAGGAAGAGAATATTGATAGAGAGATACGTATATATGAGAGAAAATCACGCTGACAACGTAATTGTACATTATATATATATATATATATTATATATATATATATATATTATATATAATATATAGAGAGAGAGAGAGAGAGAGAGAGAGAGAGAGAGAGAGAGAGAGAGAGAGAGAGAGAGAGAGAGAGAGAGAGAGACACGCGCACGCACGCACGCACGCACGCACACACACACACACACACACACACACACACACACACACACACACACACACACACACACACACACACACACATACACACACACACACACACACACACACACACACACACACACACACACACACACATATATATATATATATATATATATATATATATATATATATATATATATATATATATATGTGTGTGTATATATGTATACATATGTACATACATCATACATACGTATTGCCACGACTATTTTATTAAATATTTAAATTTATTGAAAATTCAAATTGTTTTCTTTTCTAAACCATACCATACATATATCACATATTGATTTTACAATTGCCTTGATCTTCACTTCGAAGGATTTAGTGTAATATTGGAATTAATTTTTTTCAAGTGCCGCAAAATGTGATTCGTATGTGTATATGTGTATACTGTATATATAATATATATATATGTAGAGCGAAACGAGGTCTGGCCAAAATCGCAGCCGGTTTCTTCACCTGGGACCAATATGGATCCCGCTCTCTCCGAAGGTACGTGAGGGAAGGAGAAACGAATAACACAGATCTTAAAATGGAGTAAAAGAGGTTTATATCGAAGCCCATTCCCCTGCGTAAGACTCTCCACAAACAGCAAATTTCATCAGATAAAAGAGAAGTCGCCTCTCACGTTGATGTTGCCCGGTCGGTCTGAGAGACGCATGACTTTCCAGCGCGATGTACACTCCAGTGCTAGAAGAGGCGGGAAAAGGCGCCGTGCACAAACACTTGATAAATTACATCCCTCCGCACACCTGTTGAAGAAACATGTGTTTTTATTTCCTCTAGGGTGTGCTTGCTCCCTGTTTTTTTTTGTTTTTTTTTTTTTTTTTTTTAATAGACCGAAGATATGATTAGTTTTCCTATCCGTACCGAGATGTCTGGAAAGGTGTGCTGATGATTTGCGGATCTACCTGGGTTTGCGAGACCGGTAAAAAGGAGAAAAATGTTTATTTATTTATTTAATCTGGTAAGAGATAATAAGCATTACACTTATAGAACCAATATCCGGAGGTGGGGAATTATGATCAAAGTGCTGCGGGAATTGCCATCCTCCCATGTTTGCGTCACGAGTACCAATTGTCACTAATTACTGAGATTCTGGAATAGAAAGGATGAAGAAACACCATCAGATCACCTACGCGAGAGCGGGGGACATCTGTGCATAAACGGAGTAGGTGTGTGTGTATTTATGTGTAGGTGTATCTCTCTATCTAT